CACGTAATCTTATCATGTATGAGTTCACTCTATTCATACCGATTACAATCGTTTATCTCAATGACAGTGCTTAAGCAGACATTGTTCTACGACATCCGGCACTTCTTTAGTCTTCGTCACCATGTACTTCTTTAACTTCTTGCCGTACAGCCAGTCCCACCAATCAGTTACCATCAAGACAAGGAAGAACGTATCTCCATGGTCACCTGAGAGTTACGTGATTTTTACTGATGCCTCAGGTGAAATATAGCACTTCTCAGGAAAAAAAAGTGCGGGTATAGCTCAGCTGGGAGAGCGTTAGACTGAAGATCTAAAGGTCGGGTGTTCGATCCACCCTAGCCGCAAAATGTAGTTTCTTTTGTATTATGTTGTCATATCTTTTGATTCTATTGTGACAGATTTGGTACTTTTGCACCACCTAGGGAGCATTAGTACTCCGTCAGTCATGATTGACTGTACCTACAGTGACTCAAAAAATTGCCCACATGTTTACGTGTTTTTAGTTCAACGAAGAATCAAGGGACATGGATCACTTAGAAGTACGGCATATTTTACATCAAGCGAAAGCCTAGGTCATTGGCTATTGAATGGTGTATAGTACATACCAGTCACATACGGTCGAAGCTAGAAACAAACGCTCAAAATTAAAAATTTATGTGGGCAATTGTTTGAGTGCTTTTTTCATTTCAGAATGTTGATACCCTTTTTGGTATCTTATACTCTGCATGTCCAATGCAAGTTTTAATGATTTATGATTTATGATTTATCATTTATTATTTATCATTTATCATTTATTATATATTGCATATTGCATATTTACTGTAGTTACAAAAACCTGGACAACGTTTTTCAGAATCTCGCATTTTTTCGCTCAGATTTCTATATATGTAATTTTGAAGCCCGGCATCCTTAGCACTGCACATCGTATGTAAGCAGAATTTTTTGAAACGGTTGGCTTTTTATTTAGCATTAAGTAAGCAGGAAAATTAATAGTTGGTAAATGAACAATAAGATAAAATGGCCGAGAAAAAAACAATACCCTTTATTAATACCGTGTTAATCCACCTTTCGCCTTAATGACTGCCTCAATTCTTGATGGCATACTGTCAATATACCTTTTGCAGTCATCTTTAGTGAACTTGTCCCATTCTGTATTCACCCTTT